ACATTCAAAGTTTAAGCCCATCCTTTCTATCGAAGAGGAAAACACCCTTGCTAGTAGGGAGGAACAGCAGGTACAGCCTGGTAGCATTTTGCCATTTAGCATCTCACTCCCCACTGCTGCCATAGTTCACTGGGAACCCAAAATTTTCCCACACATTGAAAAAAAGGGGGTCTCTGAGCTTCTGTGTGTCATTTGCTTTCACCATAGTGCAACTGACTCAGTCAGATGGCAATCAGGCTTAAAGCTTAAGGTTTCCAGGTGGTGCTTGTGAAACTTGGTTCCGCATTACGTTCAATACATCCAGAGATTTCCCATCTTTTCTGGATAAAAGACCTTAATTTAAGTACGATTGGCCAGACTGAATCTGAAGGAACACTGACAAAATTAAGACCAAAGAGCATTCCAAGGATACAAGAAAAAAAAACTACAAAATAAATATCCAATTGTTTGGATATCCCAGCGAGTGCTGTTGGATCAATTGTGAGGAAATAGAAGCTGCGTCATACTACCCAGGCAATGAGGCCGTCCCTCAAGATTGAGCGTCAGAACAAGGAGGGGACTTGTGAGGGAAGCCTCTGACAGGCTAAGAAACTTTGATGATTCACAGAGTTCAGTGGCTGAGACTGCAGTGAAGGTGCACTAGTTAACAACATCAAGAACTCTGCATACAACTGGCCTGTATGGGAGGGTGGCTAGGAAGAAGTTATTACTGGGGGAAAAAAGCCACATGAAAATAAGCATGTGTGGAGTTTGCCAGAAAACATCCGGGTGACCCAGCTAGAATGCAGGATAAGGTTTTGGGGTCAGATGAGAGAAAAAGGAGCTTTTGGCCAAACTTCAAAATGTCTTGTACAGCACAAACCTAACTGTCCATTCCTCAACAAACACTATCCCAACAGTGAAGTATGGGGGTGGCAGCATCATGTTGTGGCGATGCTTTTTCTTTGCAGGGACTGGGCATCTTCTTAAAACTGAAGGACAGGGGGATGGTGCAAAATACAGAAATACAGGTGCTACTACACAAAACTAAAGACAAAACTAAAGCTTGAGAGAAAACAGCTTTTCGCAGGACAATAATCAAATAAACAATGGCAAAGCCACAGAGAAGTGGTTGAACAACAAAAAGATGAATGTTCAATGTCCAAGTCTAAGTCTAAGTCCAATTAAGATTCTGTGGCATTATGTAAAATAAAATGCAATGCTGATAGAAACAGACCCCAACAGATGTAAAGCTATTATTGTCGCAAAAGGTGGCTCTACCAAGTACTAACCTGAAGGGGGCGGATACTTTTTCTGTTTTTTTCTTTTCTGTTTTTGTTCTTTTTTTGTTTTTATAAAAAAGAAGATCTGCTCACAAATAATGAATTTTCACTTTGAAAAGAGTAAATTGGGTTTTAATAAAAATACTGTCTGGTAAAATCTGCATATGTGCCATTTGTAATTCAGACAATTCTGATGACTTACGGGGGTTAAATACTTTTGCAAAGCACTATACATATGGATAGGTAAATAGCTATCAAGATAGCTAGACAAACAGACTAACCCAAAAAAATAAAAAATAAATTACTGTCCACATACACAATCAGCCCCTATCGTGCCATACACCAACCCACCATCTCTACCCCTTGCTGAAACTCCTGACCACCACACCAAAACCATCAATGATATCAGAGCTGAACAGTGGTGTTCTCATTATTTCTTACATTTTACATAAAAATTAGACCTACTTATTTGAGAACTATGCTTGCCAGGTACATTCTAACATCTGGTTTTGGCCTCTTGGTCTTGATCTAACCCTGAACTTCACTGGTATCAAGATTCCCAAAACAGCCCTTGGAACGCTGTTACTTCCATTTATCCATAAATTAAAGTAGAATGGAAGACTGTGCGAATGTGGGGTTTCACAAATGTATGCATTTACATTACAGTTCTCTGACATTTATGATGCGACCACCTCTTCAGCTGCCATTACAAATAGAAGGTTTATTACACCCTGGGCAGATTTCCTGCATAATAGCTGGAAAATTCTATAACCTCACAGAGAATAATGAGCTTTAGAGCTTCTGACTATGTAGCAAAGCTTTCCTCATCTGAAATAGTCTTTGTTTGATAGGTTTTAAAGTCAGTATGGTATTGTAGACCCAATCTACTGGGAGAGGTTGGTTTACATTGGTTAAGAATCTAATGTTCCAGTCTGATAAAGATTAAAACAGACAATTCAGGAGCAGCTTTCTGGTTACAGATTGAAGACTTTGAGCCAGTTTCTCAGAAACAGATCACAGCCTAGTCCAAGTCTAGGCTTAATCTGTGTTTGGGAAACTGGCTCTATGTCTGTTTTTTTTCTCTCCCACTAACAGCACATACTTGCTGGTATCATATAGCCTACTTTACCAAAAATGCTTATTCAGACCATGTACCATCTTCACATGCAACTGCATGTTGTAAACAACAGTTTTGTTTTTACTGTCATATCCTGTTTTTCAGTCTTTAAGCTGATGAGTTTGTAGGGGGCTTCAAATGGACTCTGTACAAGTGTTACAAAATGCGGAAAAATCCAATAATCATTGTTTTGGTAAGTAATTTCCTGTCATGTTTCCAGAGACATGTATTACTACATTGGGAGTTTTGCAAATTACAAATTGTTGGCAACTCAAAGCATGAGGAGATTATTCATTTCCACTGTCACCTCCTGTAGTTTTAATAACACAAATCTGACTGAATGAAGAGTCTTAAATGAAGGACAACACACCACCAATGTGAAGAACAGGCAGAATAGTTAAAAATGCAGGCTGTGTCCTGTACACTAAACTTTGGAACTAAAGTACAATGCAGGGTAAGTGTCAGTACTAAGATTCTGAAATTTAATACAAATAAGCTGGATTACTTTATTATTGACTAAAAATTGATTCAAAAAATTGTGGCTACTTCTGTGCAGCACCAATGATACCTGATTTGAGTATGTACATAAAAAAACACTGTATATCAGGCAATTCTCATATCTGACCATCCCTATACATATATATATATATATATATATATATATATATATATATATATATACACATATACATATATATACATATATATATATATATATATATATATATATATATATATATATATATATAAATAAAAGACGTATGTTTTGATTTTAAGAGCCATAATTTGGAAACAAAGCATTTATTAAATGCACTGAGACATGTCAGTAATAGCTGCCAAGTAGATTCAAAATATTAACCGCAATAAGAATGTTAAGATGAGCAATAGGAAACTTAGGAAATGATGTCACCTCAAAATTACAGCTCTAAAATAGATATTAGCTGGATCTCACAATCCCTACTTCTAAGTATTGCCTACAGTCTTGTGGATTGTCACTTTAATGCGGCAAAGAACCATCTAGTTGAACAGAACATGCCAAGCGACCAACTACAAACCTTAATTTTTGTGTGAAAAGCTTATTGTTGTCATAGTGTGCTGAGCTGCTTGCTACTGGTAAATAGCTGTCATTTAGCCTGGTAAACAAAAGCATTCTTTCAGACTGGGAAAAAACAGTGCACAAGTGTGTTGTTTCATAACAAATTCAGCAGTGGTTGCTGCATTTCACATGCCTAGTAAACTACCACAATATAGCAGACACTTGCTTAACATAACAGTTGTAAAAGCATGAAATATTTGAATGGCTTTACAGCTTTTGAGTATTTGAACTGCCAAGTATGGCAAGCAAAAATATATAAAATACAAAAAAAAGAACATTAAGACCACCAGATCACCACAATGTTGCCCAATTACATATTTCCAAGAAACAAAACACTCAGTCATCACTAATATATCATGAATATTTAATACAATCAATCTGAGCCCATGTTCAGGCAGAGAATCTACTTGCACAACAAAAAGACTGCATTTACATATTTGTGTATTTAAGATGTTATTACACTAAAGGGCAATGGTGGATACTAGTTAAGACATTCCTGGATTTCATATCTTATTAGGGCTGGTAAAAACTAATTTCTAAGGACAGTACACCCCTTCTATTTAGTAAAATCAGATACTTTAAGATGCACCCACTGCATATATACAACTTGTATAATCTCCATAGAAAAGCACTGGCAATAGAATGGGACGCTCTGGAGCAGCTGTACAAGAGCCTAAGGCCACAATGCCCAATGCCAAGCACCAGATAGATGGGAATAATGCCTCTAAGTACTGAGCTGTAGAGCAGTGATCCGGTTCTCTGGAGTGATGGAGCTCCATCCAAAACCTCTGGGAGGAGCAGTAGTGACGTTTGTGAGCCAGAATTAACCATCCAACATCACAATCTGACCTCACTAATGCTTTTGTGTCTGAATACAATCAAATCCTCACAGCAATGCTCCAACATCCAATGTAAACCCTTCCCAGAAAAGTTGAGGCTGCAGCAAAGAGGGGACAAACTCCCTATTAACAGCCTTAATTTCAGAAGAAACGTTGGATGTAATTACAGGTGTCTCCAGACTTTGGACGTATTGTTTATGTTCAATAGGAAGTCCAGAAAGATGCAACCAGTCAACAGTAACTTATAAGCTCTTATTTTGCAAATTCAGCAGCGGTTGCTGAAATTCGTGTGCCTTGTACCACAATACCACTTGTTTGAGTCATGCTTAACATACAGTAAACTTACACATGCTGCCTTTAACGCCAGCTAGCTGGCTGGCGGGCTACATGGCTAGCTTGACGAGCAAGAAGACGGTTTGTAAGCAGCTTATGGGAGTGATATGGATAAATTAAGACTGCAGTTGTGTAAAACGTAATGTCGAAGCTGCGCCCAGCGTTCAGCCGCTTGTGTTTGGAGTATAAAACAGTTTGCGGCGGTGTGTTGTTGTGGCCTGTGTTTCCACTCAACGCTCCCATTGGTCCACAACACCGCGGTAACGAGACGACACGGGAACCCCATTGGGTTTGATTTTCTGCAGGAAAAGCGGACGCTTGCTTCGAAACAAGCTAAACATATTTTGCCTCACCTTCCAAAGCATGTCCTCCGGCTCTCTCAGAGCTGTCCTCTGAAGTTTGGAACACGCAACATGGTCATTTCTCATGAACAACGACAGATCTTCAAAACTGTTTCTGCACAGCCATTTTGAGCCAGACCTTGACTCGCAGACTGTGGGGGAGAAGTGTAATGAGTCCGCGCCTTGTAAATCCACTCCAAAATACCACGCCACAAAATCACACTTCATACAGACAGAACATACTACTTTCTCAGGGCGTATATGACTGAAATTAAATTAATAAGACCTGTACCTGATTACACGCTACACAACAGATTTGCTGGTCACCCCTCTGGAAAGGAAATGGTACGGCTCACGCAACACCGGTTCAACTCTATGAAAGTGTCCAATCAGTGAACGAGAAAATGCAGCTGTCCAATCAGATACTTCAGGAAATGTACAGCGTACCCGCCCCTCGCCTCGTCCAAACCACGTGAAGAACCCTGTAAATAGACCATAAACAGGAGAGTGATAGAAGGAGGAGGGAGGGAGACGTTCACACGTGCTCCTTTACACCTGGAGGAGGTTTAAATTTGTGTGTGTTGGAGTTTTTCTCTTCACCTTCTGTTTGTCAAATTAGACTAAGCATTAAACCCACGGAAATCTGATATATAGCTATATATGTACATATATCATAAAAGGTCAGACATATTAAAATATATATACATATATGTTGTGTACATGTATGTAATTATCAAATATTGGACATGTATGCATAATATATGGATCATACATATATGTCTGATAAGCAGGTGAATGCATATATGCATAATGTATGGATTATACATACATGTCTGATACATGGTTGAACACATCCCAGTACAGTTAAATTTTTTACTGAAATTGGCTTAATGTTTAAAATTAGATACCACTAGTTTCCTGTAGGACACCTTTAGATCCCATTAAGAAATCATCAAATGCATCAGGAATCAGTCCCAGAACACCTGTTAAACCTTTAGAGTCCTTTACACTGTGATATCAACCCATCAGGAAAACACAAAATACCATTAGTGACTATTAGACCATCAGAAATCAACAGAAACTTTTGTTTCTATGATTTTTTTTGGAAAACTGTTTTAGTTTTTGAGTATTTTTGGCATCAGAAATTCAATATACTAGTTAAACATGGAAAAAAAAAAGTAAAAACCAAATTGGGCTAATGTGTAATGTTTCAGAATCTCAACAACTGTGTAAAATGAATAAAACATTTAATTTATACTCATGAGAATTGAATTATTCCTCACATTAACATTGACTTGGAAAAAAGCCATGAATTCTTATTGGTCAGAATTGATATCTTACACATTAACATATAGTTCCTCCAGGTAATAGCTAAACTTTGGATTATAATAATAAAATTGTTTGTCCTACACATCACACAAATACACCAAGATGAGCACTGAGAGAGAGACAGAGGCAGAGAGAGACTCTAAGAACTCTGTATAAAAGTGTGCTGTGAGGAGCAGATCAATGCACGCAGCACCCGTGGCCCGAGACAGTCCACTGAATAGAAGAGGTGTCTGGATAATGACTATATTGATCAGTTAAACACCTTTTCACCAGTCATTCTCAATCACAGAGGTGGTGGTCATGGCTACTGGAGTGTGTGTGTGTGTGTGTGTGTGTGTGTGTGTGTGTGTGTGAGTGCGTGTGTGTGTATGTGTGTTTGTCCATATGTGAGTTTTTGAAGTAATTTATGCTTATGAAAGACATCATGCATTATGTGAAAATGTTTCACCAGTCTAACACCTGTATTATAATACTACTACTGCTAATGTCTAATAGGAATAGAAGTAATAGTATTAATAATAATGTTGTAGTCAGTGGTGACGTTTCACCGGTACCAATATACACAACATACTATCAATGAAAATAGTAATAATAATTACAAATATTTGGATTTAAATGTGTAGTATGATTTGGTTCCTAAAACATGTAAATTGAAAGGAATTGAATTGCGTTACTACTGTTGTCGGTGGTGATTGATTCTGTGCTGGTCTAAGCTGGTTTATGCTGGTCTGGTGCTGGTTTAGCTGGTCACCCAGCTTGGTCCTGCTGGTTGACTAACATACCAGCATCCAAAACACAACATATACTGGTTTTGCTGGTGACCAGCTGTGCTGGTCTTTGCTGTTTTTTTTCTAGCAGGGAAGTCAGAGCAATGTCAGGTCTGTGCTGATGTATTTTGTATATCATTAACAAAAACAGCTTGAAAGACATGCAGTATTTCTTAAACGACTGGCACCAGATAGCAGTGTAATGCTATCTGCACAAACATTTCCCTTTGCCATAACTATGTTCTTTTAAAGCAAAATGAGATCAATCTCTGTCGTTTGGTTCCAAGGTTGTAAAACCTCAAAATGAAACACTCGTCTTTCACTTAGGTCACACTCATCCAGATGCAAGCTGAGCTCAGAGAGAGTTAAAAGAAGAGGAGAGAGAAAAAGGCCAGTAGAGAGACAGCAGACTCAGCCAAATAGACCCTCATCTAAAGCCTGTCTGCAGGTATCGTTCTCTCTCTCTATCTGTCTATCTCTCTCTCTCTTTTGCTCTCTTGCTCTCTCGCTCTGTCTCTGGCAGTGGGCTGTAGAACTTTACGACTGCCTGTTCAGCAAGAGAAGCCATTTGGACGTGTTTGTCTCTGAAATCTGTCGTCGTCAGCACAGACTGTCAGAGAAAGAGTGAGTCAGTGTGGTGTGTGGTGTTCCACAGGCCCAGTAGCTGGAACAACATGGACGTTTATCAGCTGCTTTACATCAAAACCAAAACACTTTTGTTGAAGGTTTTTCCTATCATGTAGCAGGACCACTAATCTGGAAGCAATATATGTGAAACTATCAACCACAGCTTTTCAACTTGAGCATCGTAGCTCAGCAAGCTTGGATGAAGTCTAACTTCTTGGCATCCTGTTTGCATGTTGCTTGTGTCGTTCTCATTCGGTCTCAGTATGAAGCTGTTTCCAGGCTCTTACAGAAGTCATAGGCACATTAGACATTGGCTGGCCTTCTGAGTGTGTCACTCACTGCGGCATCACATCCAAATCCACAGCCACGCTATCAGTGTCCTCTGAATGATGCCCAGGTGTGAATAAGTGTTAGTGAAACTGGTGGCAACAGCTTGAAGTTTGAAGGTTGATCAACAGCCAGGAATGAGTTTTTTGAGTGGGCTATTGTAAACTAGTCATGCAGCTGCACTGGAGAAGAAGAATCTACTAAAAATCTCATTGTGTAAGAGACTGGCCAACAATAGAAGGAGCACATTAACTCACTATTGTCGGTTCAAACTTTGTTGTGCCTTGCTTTTGTGGTTCTAAAACTTTGCATATACAGCACTGTAGCTTTATCAGTGAATGGTATTTCACAGATTTAACTTTGAAGGTGCACTATGTAAGATTTGGGGTTTTGGAGACCTCTCTGGTGGAAATGAGCAATTGCAAGCAATGTGCAGATGAACATTTTTGTAACGTCAGATGTGCTTCAAACCCCTTTCCTGAGTGGATGAATCTGATGGCTGTGAGCACGTTAAAAGAGTATTTAAAGAGAACTCAGTCAAAACTTGTTAAGAAAAATGTCTTCTGAGAATGTGAGTGAATTATCTACTACTGTACCCGTATCTTCATCAGTATAATATTGGTTTTGCGTTTAAGACCTTAACATCAAGCCAGACCTTTTTGAGCCTGTGCTAAGATGTTAAAGATGTATGACGTTGTCCAAAAACCTCCCTCAAAATCTGACCCGACGCCTCAGAGTTTTAAATTAATTCAGGCTTTACAGGGTGACTCACAGCAGTGCACATGCACCATATTTTAGCATGTTTTTTTCCCTCCTGATTCAAAAGTGCTACTTTTTTCAATTTTAACAAAAAATTCTACATTTTTTTAAGTTATTAAGTGAGTCACAGTTATTTTCAGCAATAACAAAATCCTGCTGTAACTTCTGCATTCTGACTCAAGACTTTCAATTAATGTCAGATTTGTGTTCATAAGTAGAAAGAGAGATTTTATTAAGATTTGAATTTGATGAAAAGTTATTGTTGTGAGTGCAGTCATGTTCTGCAGAAAGAAAAACATCCTTTACATTTTGCCATATGTTTGCTATTTATTGACATTGAAAGAAATGGAAAACAGTGCAGACTCAAGTCCACATTCGGGCCCTGGCAGTTTAAAGGGAAAGTCCACCATAAATAAATGGTTAAGATGTAGGCAAAGTCATTCAAAGTGGTTTGATCTGAAACGCTCCATTCTAGAAAAACTTGGAGAGTAAGAATTGTTCACAGTAGTGATGATAGGAACCAGAGGCTTGAATCATCTAATGCCTTGAAAAACTCCCTCACAGAAAGCTATTATACAAAGTGCTTACAAATACATGACCTGATGCCTGAGACATTGTTCTGTGATAGTTCTGAGATGAGCTTTTGGACTAAAGCCTGTTTTCAAATCCATTCATGGTGGAGAAGTACGTGCAGGGAGTTAAATAGCCCCTGAAGACTTATTTGTTCACATTTACCACTATTTTAGCATTATTAACATTACATATAAAGACTTAGAAGACACATGTAGGTAAACTGATGGTTTTGGATAGTAAATAAATTGCCTATATTTGTATTATAGTTTCCACCACTGTCAGGAAATCGGAGTCGGTAAGTTTCTCTACCGTGAACAATTTCACATCAAACCACTTTGAGTGACATATCTCGACTGACCTGAGCAGAAGTTTTGAAAACTTAGTAGAATTGCCCTTTAAGGACTTAAATTAAATTCTGAATGTGTTAAAAGGCTTATGTACTAAACACGGCCTCTGTCTGTCCACTTTCCACTTTCCTCTGGACTCTGTGCTATCATTATCCTTTCCACCTCCTCATCCTCCTTCACCACAGAGGTGCCATGCGGTTCATGACGCAGTGTGGCTCTGTGAATGTGGTGAAAAGTGCAGTAAAAGTGATTTTACTCGTTTAACATGTTTCCCTTCATTCCGCGTCTCTTTCACCACACATCATAAGTTATGGGGTGAGAGGCTGGACCTGCGGACAGTTATTGCTTTCATGCACTGCTGACCCCTGAGTCCTCCCTGTTGTGTCAGTGTGTGTGTGTGTGTGTGTGTATCCACACATCTGTGTGTAGGTAGTTAGAAGCATGAATTCTCAGCTGAAGTAACAAATTCAGTGGCCCCTCACCTATCACAGATTAGAAATGTTGTTCTTACCACCTAAATCTGTCTCACACATGCCCACACTCCTGTCCATTCAATTAAACTCTTGAAAATAGAGGTCCCTAAATGGTCTTTGGCCTGGACTTACAGTTTCAGGAGAAATTCTTAAATAGTATTGAA